TTGGGCTCAAGAAACCCTCCCGAGTAGCTAGGACTACAGGTGCCCACCACACCAGGCTAAGTTTTCTATTTTTAGTAGACAAGAGTCTTACTTTTGCTCAGGTTGGTCTTAACTCCTAATGATTATAGGCATGGCTCTCTACACTTAATTCTTTTTCTTTCTTTTAGAGACAGAGTCTCACTTTGTCACCCTCGGTAGCGTGCCATGGCATCACAGCTCATAGCAACCTCCAGCTCTTGGGCTTAGGTGATTCTCTTGCCTCAGCTTCCCAAGTAGCTAGGACTACAGGCGCCCACCACAACATCTGGCTATTTTTTTTTGTTGTTGTTGCAGTTTGGCCAGGGCCGGGTTTGAACCTGCCACCCTCAGTATATGAGGCCGCCCTCCTTTTTTTTCCCGAGACAGCCTCACTTTGTAAGAATCTAATTAATCCTGACCTGTTAATAGTGAACTAAATCTAATAGTCTACCTATTTTAATGCAAAATACAATTCTTACTATCAGTCACTTGCATCAGGATAGGTAACAGAACATAGGCTAAGATTAGATCTAAGTTATCAGATGTTAGCAATGCCTGGTCTTCACCACACCGGCCATTTAAAACACCTGGCCAGCAGGGACCAGGCTTATCACATTCACTCCTTCCTACTCCTCTGTCCCAAGCCTGGCACACTGAAGTTCAACAGTAATAAAAGTTTCCTGTTCTGACATTAGTGCTCACAAGGGACACAAACTACCACTCTGTAAATAGAAATCTGACCAGGCAATAGTGGCAGATTATGAAAAAATTAAAGGCCTTTGATCGCTGTGTATTTAAAACTGGTGTAATCGGCTCGGCGCCTATAGCTCAACAGGCTAAGGCGCCAGCCACGTACACCTAAGGTGGCGGGTTCGAATCCCCAGCCCGGACCCGCCAAACAACAATGACGGCTGCAACCAAAAAATAGCCGGGCGTTGTGGCGGGCGCCTGTAGTCCCAGCTACTTGGGAGGTGGAGGCAGAAGACTCGCTTGAGCCCAGGAGTTGGAGGTTGCTGTGAGCTGTAATGCCACAGCACTCTACCCAGGGGGACAGCTTGAGGCTCTGTCTCAAAAAAAAAAAAAAAAAAAAAACTGGTGTAATCATTTGACTTAGGTGAATATTTTATCCCTGTAAAATTCCTGTAAGATCTGTGCAGTTTTCAGGAAAAAACAGGCCCTTTGACCCAAATGCTGAATGTGAATAATTATGTCACTCAGTAAGGAAAATCATGTTAAACTAGGTTCATAATAAAACAAAATGGTAAAAGTTCTCTCCATACCTTCTGAAGAAGAAAGAATAATTACTGCCTATGATACAAATTGCTCCGGGAACGTTTAGCAGCCTGTTACAAACAGGGCTTTGTTCACTAATCTGGTAGATATCTCTAATTTTTGATAAAACCTTTAATTGCTAAAATCAGCAACCCACAGACCACTAATGAATGTTTTAAGGAAACGCTAACTATGTGTAACATCTGAAATACTCAAAACTGCATTTAGAATACAGACCTATTTGGCAATAAGCATTTTATTTCTACTTTTCAAACATAAACAAAAGTCAAGTCTGCAGCTTTAGCTGCTCAGTGAACAGGTTCAGCACTCAGTTCTGGGATATATTCCAACAGACTCATGCATTTTTCTCTCAGAAAATACACACATAAACTAAATTCTACTCTCCATCTACTACTATTCTCTCTTGCATTCATGAAATACCACATGTACTGAGAATAATGTAACAAATTACGGAACACATTTATTTTTCAAAAAAATTGAGTTCTGTAAATCACAATGTTAAGACTCAGTGATAGCTGAGGCAGCCTGCAAATACTTTAAGATTTCTAAGTTAAAGCAGTAGGAGTACTAATTGTAAGACGGTAGAACTCCTTTATACATTTCCAACATTTAAAAGGAGACAGAATAATAGATGGGAGATTTTGGTTCCAAGTTTGCTGCCCCACATCTAAAGATGAAATAATTTAAAAAAGCAACTTAATTCCATAAACAAAACTAAAACTTTCTATTCATAATGTCCACATATGGTAAAGATTGTTACACTTAAACCTGAATCAGCAGGAAAGTCAAACAGGATTTTATACTCTTTAGAAAAATATAAGTGAAACATCACTGATTTTTCCCTAAAATTCAAGTTTCTCCATATATCCTTGAGGACATGAAAAGGAACTCATGCTTTTTCTGACTGAATTATTTCAGCATTTTTCTATCGAAGTAACAGGAAAGTGCATCTATATAGGATATGTATCACTAACTGCAGTTATTTTATATGGCAGAAAATGGTACTTTTGCAAATGACAGCCCTATCTCTATTAGCATTACAATCTGCTTCACTAACTCCTATTAAAGTAGGTGCTCATCATCTTCATTTTACAGACAAGGTACCTTACAGAGCTCACATGCTAGGAAGTGTCAAGAGCTGGGATTAGAAACCCAGGAAATTTGGATCCAGAGCCACTATTCTTATTCTCTACACTCAACCATCCATCTTGTAACACCCACCTCTAACTAATGTGTTGTTTCCCACCAGACCAGTATAGGTCTCAACCAGGTGATTCTGATTCTGCCTCCAAGTCTGATCCCCCAACCCCAAGCAGTCCAACCCAACTAGAACATCTAACAATGTCTGGGACGTGTTTTTTTTTTTTTTTTTTAAAGAGAGAGTCTCACAATCCTTTGCCCAGGCTGGAGTGCCGTGGTTCAATCATAGCTCACTGTAGGCTTAAGCAATTCCCTCATGTTGGCCTGACTAGTAGTTAGGTCGAGAGGCATGTGCTACTCTGGCTAACTTTTAAGATTTTTGTAGAGATGGGGTCTCACTATACTATACTGCCCTGGTTCCTGGCCTCAGCTTTCCAAAGTGCTGGAATCAGAGGTATGAGTCATCATATCCAGCTTGGAGACATTTTTGACTGTCACAACTTAGAGGTGTTGTTACTGGTATCAGGTGAGCAGAGACCAGGATGCTACTAAAACTCCTGTAACGCATAGCCTCATGCTACACTGCCCAGCTTAAAACATCAGCAGCGCCTAGGACAGAGCAGACTCCAGGAGGTGGAGTCTCACAGCTGATCTCCGTTGCTGTTGCACCCTTAGGCCCAGAAACAACTCTTGACACTTTAAGTACTTATATTTGTTGAGTGAATACTTAGCTGCTTCTTTTTTCAACTTTACACAATTTATTATGTAAAAGAGAGAGTAAATAAAGAAGCTACATGAATTGAAAACATGTTCCAGAGAGAGAAGGGGTCAACATTGGTGAGTGGAGAAAGACAATATTTAGCTGTTCTTAAGAGCCTAGAACTAAGCCTAGTACGTTGCTGGTAGGCAGCATTTATTAAAAATAATTAAATTGGTCTGGGCATGCTGGCTCACGCATGTAATCCCACCACTCTTTTTTTTTTTGTAGAGACAAAGTCTTACTTTATTGCCCTTGGTAGAGTGCCGTGGCATCACAGCAACCTCTAACTCCTGGGCTTAGGTGATTCTCTTGCCTCAGACTCCCAAGTAACTGAGACTACAGGCACCCGCCACAACGCCCGGCTGTTTTTTTTTATTGCAGTTTGGCCGGGGCTGGGTTTGACCCCACCATCCTCAGTATATGGGGCCAGCACCCTACTCATTGAGCCACAGGCGCCGCCCAATCCTACCATTCTCGAGAGGCTTAGATGGATGGACTACTAGAGCTTAGGAATTCCAGACCAGCTTGAGTGAGACCCCATCTCTACTAAAAGCAGAAAAATGAGCCAGGCATAGTGGCTGGCACTTGTAGTCCCAGCTACTCAGGAGGCTGAAGCAGGAGGATCACTTGTACCCAGGCTGAAGCAGGAGTGAGGTTGTGGTGAGCTAGGATTAGGCCATGGCACTTGCTTGGGTGACACAGTGAGAGTGTATCAAAGAAAAAAAATAGAGAAAAAATTAAATTAGTGGTGGTGCCATCAATAGATGTTAATAGGACATAGTAATTAAAAGTGATTTTAGGCTCGGCGCCTATAGCTCAACCGGCTAAGGCGCCAGCCACGTACACCTAAGGTGACGGGTTCGAATCCCCAGCCC